TATCGATTCCAAAGTCCATTTGTATGTCACGTGAGAATGTTTCGGTAATGTGTAGAAGGTGATTAAGTTTTATGCTTGTGGAAGAGTATAATTTAAGGTCGTCCATGTAAAACAGGTGTGTAATGTTGTGATGTATTTCGTGGTTGTGTTTAATATTGTACCCAAAGTTAGTAGTGTTTAACAAATATGAAAGTGGATTAAGAGCAAGACAAAACCAAAGCGGACTTAAAGAATCGCCTTGAAAAATTCCTCTTTTAATTTGTATTGGGTCGGTAATAAGTTTTGTGTCGTTTAGTGTAAGTGTTAACGTAGTGTTCCAACATGACATTATGTAATTGAGGAATTGTGTAATATTGTTGCTGACCTTGTATATTGAGAGTACTTGTTGTAACCAAGAGTGTGGTACTGAATCGAATGCTTTTTTGTAATCAATGTATGCAGTGTGTATGTTTCGTTTGTTATGTCTGGATTGTTCAAGTATAACAGAGTCTATAATGAGTTGCTCTTTACATCCTCTGGAATACTTGGTACACCCTTTTTGTTCTTCGTATAAAATGTTGTTATCAGTACAGTGTTGGTATATTTTGTTTGTAATGCATGATGTAAGGATTTTGTATATTGTAGGAAGGCATGTAATTGGTCTATATTTAGATGGGTCTTGTGTATTGTTGTCTTTTGGGAGCATGTAAGTGATACCTTGTGTAAAGAATGCAGGAGTGCGATCTGGTGAATTAAGAAGTTCAGTAAATTGTTGTGCAAGGTAAGAGTGAGTGTAGGTAAAATATTTCCACCAAAAGTTGTGAATGTTATCAATGCCTGGGCTTTTCCAGTTATGTAAGTGATTAATAGTTTGAATGATGTCTGTTGTAGTGATGTTTGTGTTATTCATAGGGGTAATGTATTCAGTGCGTGTGGTTTCTGTGGTAATCCACGGGGCGTGTGGATTGTGTTTAATGTCTTTGGTCCATAAGTCAGACCAGTATTGCTGGAGTGAGTGTAGAGATGGTGGAATGAGTTTTTCATTAGTGCTGTTTTGTGTTAGTGATCTGTAAAATAGTTTTTCGTTATGTTTAAATTGTGTGTTATGGCGCTTTCTATCTGCAGTTTCCCTATAGCGTTTTAGACGGTTTGTGTATATTGATAGTTTTTGTGTCAGTGTATCTCTATGTTCGTTATAGTTTGTATTTTGTTCTCGTGTGGTGTGATTGTTTAGTTTTGTAGTTATGTGTTGTACTTGTCGTGTTAGTTTTGAAGAACGAGTTCCTTGTATGTATTGTGTAATCCGACCCAAGTCACGTCTGATGTCATCGATGCGAGTTATCAGGCGTTTTTCCCAGGCCGGGGGTGAGCGTTTTTTTGTTGTGTGCTGTTGTTTGTTTATTGTTATTCTTGCACCGTTACATCTAGAAACTGCAACCGCACCGCAATACACAACAAAGTGTAGTTGATGTAAGCTTGTGTTATCGTTAATGTAATTTGGTAAGATGTGGTCATTTAATGTTTGTGAAAGTGTGCGTAATTTTGTAGTTTGTAGTTATTATTATTATTATTATTATTATTATTATTATTATTATAAATCATTATCAAATTTATTTTCTTATATGGTACGTAAAAAAGTACACGCTGTATTGAGTAATAATTTTTATTACGAATACAACGATATACGGCACATAGAAAAAAGTTGAAAAGCGTTGGTTTCAACGGGATGGTGCACCCATTCACAACATTCGCGCGGGAATATGTACCTATCGAACAAATTTTCTGGGAAATGAAAAATAGATAGGTATTTTCGCAAAATTAGGACGTTATCCGCGAGTGCACAAAGAAGATATTTCAGATGAGGGGTAGTCTTAAACCTCACCACGTACTACCAGGGAGAAGGGGGAGAATTTAACCCCTAACAATCATTACTCAACTCATTTGAACAAAATTTTACTCACATTAAGCAATATATAGTGTTATAGGTTTTGGCAAAAAAAGGAAGTTTCGCCCCTAAAAAATTAAAAGCGCCCATCCCCATAATATATAGATTTTTAAGCGGAGAGTAAGTTGAACTTCCCAAAACGTTATACAAATCCATGCATTTTGAAAAAATTGTTAGGTTTGGTACTACCTATTGATGGATAAAACATGGGAGTTAACGCACATATCGGCACTTTTCAGTTCTTGAATATGGGGGTAAGAACTGCATATGTTTTCGTGCCAATATCATCAATATTGTAACAAACGCTTTAGGTACTAGGTACTACCATTGTATAAGACGTAGGTAGGTATATACAATGGTACTACTTTAAAATCTGAAAATATTTTTCTTTGATCTTTTTTATTTTTTGTCCCATATTTCTCAAATTTTTGAAAAAAGTCAAAAATAGCATGATCTAGTCAGCTATACCTCGCATACCTATTTTAGTAATATAGGTAATAAAATTATTTTTTAATATGTTCTTGCTTTTATTAAATGACTAAACAATGCTTTGGGTAGGATTTAGGTAATTGGTTATTCGATAATATGAAGAATCGGCGTTGTTATCTGTTTAACTAATAGGATTTACTCTCACGGCTTATAAATCACGTGACCGCACTCGACCAATAACAGAAGTCTCCAATTCGCCAAATCACTAAAAAAATCTCGTCGCACTAAAGGCACATTACACTATCATACTTCTCATGTGATTTGTCATATGATAAGTAACAAGCATTTAGATTTGTGTTTACACTATACTATTTTTGGTATTATGGCTGTCATAAGACAAATCATAAGGAAATAATATGGAAATAATACGTAAATCGTGGAATAGGGATGTTTCTATTTCTGCATGACAAATGACATGACTTATTTTAAATATCCAAGTGATCCCGCCCTTTTATGGTTACTTTTCGCATTTTGCTGTTGTACTTATCTGAAAAAGCTGAATACTTGAGTAAACCAGTAAACTTTTGATTATATCATTGATTATAGGTGTGTATAATCAATGATTATAGGTATATTAGTTACTAATGAAAGAATAAATTACATAAATAATAAATCGAGCAATAAATATTTACGAGTATATTGGTATTTGGTTGTTTGGTTGTAGTGGTGTTTTCAGACACACATTGTCAAATAGTGTCTTGATTGGTAATTAACCCTTCAAATAAGGGTACACTCATCCTTAATGTCGACCAAGGGGACGACTCTGTTTGCTTTGTTAATGAAACGCATAACGGAGAAATTATTTTTAAAATAATTGTTAAACTTTTTTCGTTAAAAATGTACTATGATTTTTGAGGCACTTTAGAAGTTCACCTATTTGTGCTTTACAGGTGATTTTTTTGAGTTCTAAGTTAGCCTGAAGGTACTTTTTTGTTGAATACTTATTGTGATAATTAGCGATTTATTTTAATACAGAAGTTAACCGCACAAAATTGCTTATTTGCCAATTTATTTAAAATTTTGCGGGATCCCGCAAATACCGGGTTCCCGCGGGATTAACATCTAACGATCCCGCAAATACCGGGATTGAGATTTTGCTGCGGGATTGCATTCCCTAGCTGTAACTTTTGAACTAGTAGCCCAATCTTGGAACTGTTTGAAATTATGGATTCTACAGGCCACATTCTATAAGAAAATTTTTTTTCCGGGTCGATCTGAGACAATTTTTTTTTCGGGCCTCAAAAAAAGGCAGTGTATAACCTTCCTTTTTTACCAAAAATCGACTGCACCAAAATTTCTCGGGAAAACACTTTTTCTTATTAATTTTGGTGCGTAGAATCCAAAACAATTCGTACTTTTTCGATCAGACTTCTCAATCAAAAGTTATAGACTAGAAACCAATTTCGAAAGAAAATTCAAAGGGCTGTAACTTTTGAACTAGTAGCCCAATCTTGGAACTGTTTGAAATTATGGATTCTACAGGCCACATTCTATAAGAAAAATTTTTTTCCGGGTCGATCTGAGACAATTTTTTTCCGGGGCTCAAAAAAAGGCAGTGTATATACCTTCCTTTTTTACCAAAAATCGACTGCACCAAAATTTCTCGGGAAAACACTTTTTCTTATTAATTTTGGTGCGTAGAATCCAAAACAATTCGTACTTTTTCGATCAGACTTCTCAATCAAAAGTTATAGACTAGAAACCAATTTCGAAAAAAAATTCAAAGGGCTGTAACTTTTGAACTAGTAGCCCAATCTTGGAACTGTTTGAAATTATGGATTCTACAGGCCACATTCTATAAGAAAATATTTTTTCCCGGTCGATCTGAGACATTTTTTTTTTCGGGGCAAAAAAAAGGCAGTGTATAACCTTCCTTTTTTACCAAAAATCGACTGCACCAAAATTTCTCGGGAAAACACTTTTTCTTATTAATTTTGGTGCGTAGAATCCAAAACAATTCGTACTTTTTCGATCAGACTTCTCAATCAAAAGTTATAGACTAGAAACCAATTTCGAAAGAAAATTCAAAGGGCTGTAACTTTTGAACTAGTAGCCCAATCTTGGAACTGTTTGAAATTATGGATTCTACAGGCCACATTCTATAAGAAAATTTTTTTCCGGTTCGATCTGAGACAATTTTTTTCGGTGCGTAGAATCCAAAACAATTCGTACTTTTTCGATCAGACTTCTCAATCAAAAGTTATAGACTAGAAACCAATTTCGAAAGAAAATTCAAAGGGCTGTAACTTTTGAACTATTATAGTAGCCCAATCTTGGAACTTGGAACATTTTAATTTAGAGAAGTTATATAGGTTTCGTAACTTCTTGTATTAAAGTCATATGAAAAACCTGTCAAGTGTAAAGTAAAACATTAAAACTCATACGAAAAATATGTTGGTAGTAAATATCATATAACATATCATATAAAAAATCATGTGAGATATATTATAGTGTAAAGGTACCTTTACAGTCATTTCATAGTTCACTTGACCGTCTACTGTTTTTAATCTCTCTGGTTGTTCTAGGGATTTTTGTTAAATCGACGTTGGTTGTACTGATGATTCATCGTTTTGTTTGCCTACACTGGTTTAATTCGCAAAACTTGTCTGGTGAAGAAAACGTCATGCTAGTGGAAATTGTGTATCATCCCATATTAAATATTTAAGTAAATCTTTTGTACTATTCCCTTGTAAATTCCTGTATATTAAGTGAAATAGGTTCAAATAATTACAAACTCTTAGTGAAATTGTTATTAGATTCATAATAAAATGTCGACGCCAGCGAGAAGACGTCTTATGAGAGATTTCAAAAGGTTTGTAATGATTCATTGCTATACATAAATCTTGTGGGATAATAATAAATTTGGTTGCGATTTTGCTGTTTGTTGTTATTTAAACAAAGAACCCTGGTTAAATTTTAATGATTTTTTATATTTATCAAATGTAGGTTACAAGAAGATCCTCCAACAGGAGTAAGTGGGGCACCAACTGACAATAATATAATGATCTGGAATGCAGTTATATTCGGTCCACATGATACACCATTCGAAGATGGAACATTTAAATTAACTATCGAATTTACGGAGGAATATCCGAATAAACCGCCTACGGTTAGGTTTGTCAGTCACATGTTCCATCCAAATGTATATGCGGATGGGGGAATTTGCTTAGATATATTACAAAATCGGTGGAGTCCCACATACGATGTATCTGCTATTTTAACCTCTATACAAGTAAGTGAAACTGCATCAACTCCGACCACTGTTCAAGAGTTTATGGATTATTTTAAAGATTCGTGTTATACGCAAGCCTTTAAAAGACATGTTTTATGAATGACACAGTTACTTTTTAAACAAGGATTGTAATGTTCACTACATAACCATATAATTGGTTTTGAGTATAATTGCGTAATTTTGTGAATGAAATCCTGACATTAACGAAAACACGTCTCTGAGATTTGTTCCGCATTGATATTGTATCTGAAATGTTAACGAGAAATTGTATTTTGCTTTTCAGTCGTTATTAAGTGATCCCAATCCAAATTCGCCAGCAAATTCAATGGCCGCACAGTTATACAAGGAAAACAGAAGAGAGTACGAAAAACGAGTTAAAGCTTGTGTCGAACAAAGCTTTATTGATTAGCGCATCTATTTTAGATCTTGTCGTATTGAACATTGAAAGCTTATAAATTATTACTGTAATAATAACTTTGTGAGTTCTCCCTTGTTTCAAAATACAATCTATTTAATATACCTAGTAAATTTAAGTTATATTTGTCTGTTTTGGATCATCATAACGAAACAAATGCAGTAGTCCATCAGGTGTTTTCTGTAATAGTGAGAATAAGTATCAAAATGCAAAAAAAAAGGTGGAACATTTAAAGATTGAGGACAGCTTTTTTTGATTCTTTCAATTTTTAAGAAACTGTACTCTTAGATATTTATTTATTTTTTATTTTGGATTTGTGAATAAGTATTGTAGTAATAACTGATTGTAATCCACTTTTTGAAACTTTTGTTGTAATAATGTAAAACACAGCTTTGTTTATGTTGTAAAATGCATGTACTAAATTAATGCAAAGTTGTTCGAAAAACATTTATTTTTATTTAATAAATATTCGTGAACTGTTCCTTTGTAATTATTTTCAATGTGTTCGGTGGATACTTAACCAAATACAGGGTCCTGCAAGATTGCGTCGGCTCATACCTCGCAAGTAAAAAATATTAAAAAACCGTGTGGACAAATGTCAACTATAGATGGTTGGGCATCTAGAAATTATTTTTGAATGTACAGGGTGCCCTATTTTTACAGGGTTAATAAATAACTATATATTTAGATGCCATTTGTCTTGTCAATAATGCCATTTTAATAATTTTTTTTCTGAATAATTCTCCATAAGCAAGCTTCACTTTGATAAATCCTAATCACCTTGTTTTTTTGAAGTTAAGAAATACCTTTGACCAATAATTTCCATCTGAGTAAGGGCTACACTTTGATAATGAGAAAGTTGGATTTAGTGATAGAGGGTGTTCACAAAGAAATGGTAAAAAGTTTTAAAGTACCATAACTATTTTTTTTCAAATGAAACTGCCTACCATTATTTTATTTCGCTATTCGATATAGTCTTTTGTATTCTCTGTCCTGTAAGGGACGTCCTGTGTCTAAATCTGGTAGTTTTTAAATTATTCAATATTCTTGTCAAAAGTGCTCACTCGTGCAATTCAAATTTCAATCAATGTAGGTAGTATTAAAAAACAAAAAAGACAACAGTTATTCTTATTCAATTATGTTGTGTACAAAATTTAATTAATCCACAATACATACTGGAAAAATGTAGGATCTGCCTGTATTTTATTCAATCAGACGCAAAGCTCTGGACGCCTTTGAAAATCGGCATTCAAAAGTTCCGGAATGTGGTATAGACATGACAACAATTTTTCTTCAGTACGCGTTGCATTGATCTCTCACTTACTCCAGTTGCTTCACCAATGTCTTTTTGGCTCATATGTGGTAAATATGGCAGTTGTGTATTTTGATTCATAACAAAATGCCGTTTTGAAACTGAAAAAATTCCTACTACTTTCGGAGATATCCTGGAAAAAACGGAATCGAAGTTATTTAAAAAGATGACACATTTTTATAGCCATCACTTTCTTTCCTCTACAAGATGCTAGTTTTAAACTTTAAGTCTGACGTTTCGTCTCCGGTTAACCATATCATCAACTTATTTTATTCCTTATAGGTTTATTCTTATATGGAAGTTATTTTTACTTTTTGTGTTACCTACTTGCATTTTTTTCTAATTTCAAAAATCACTATTTTTAATAAGAAATGGCACTATTAATTCGTAAAAAAGCAAGAAACTACTAACATACACTACCCATCATCAAGACAAAGTTTATGCCAGTTAAAAAGGGGATATTTTAACAATATTTAAAAAATAGTGATGTTCACATTTTTGAAATTAGAAAAAAATGCACTAGGCGCTATAGCATTGGACCGCAAGACATTAGGGCGCGGACATTGGACCGCAAGACAGTAGACCGCAGACATTATAGGCCGTGGACATTAGGACGCAGACATTGAGACGCAGACACTGCGACGCGGATAGGTGCGTCCCTATTTCCACATCCCAATGCCCGCGTTCTAATGTCCGCGTCCTAATACCCGCCGCGCCCCAATGTCCGCGTCCCAATGCCCACGTCCTAATGTCTGCGGCCTACTTCCTTTGCGATATATTGTCTTGCGGCCCAATGACGGCGTCTTAATGTCTGGCGGCCTATTGCTCGATCACCAAAGTGCACTATCATAAAAAGTAAAAATGACTTTCGTAAGCAAAAACAAAGTCCATGATGGTTAACCGGAGACGAAACGTCAGACTTAAAATTTAAAACTAGCATCTTGTTGTAGAGGGAAAAATGTGGCCATAATATAATGTGTCATTTAATTTGAACTACCTATCTTTTTAAATAACCGGGAAAAAATAAAAACGATTTTGCAAAATTTCGGTTTTCTCAGGATCTCTGAAAGTAGTTACGCTTTACGTTAAATACGCAACTTTGCCAAATTTGGACTACTTATCCATCTCTTACAGTTTCCGAGATCCCCATGGTGGCCTTCGAATTTGAATCAGCCTGTGTATAAAGGTTGGTGTTCACCATTCATTTTACTGATGCAAATTTTCAAAAGTATGGAAATTCAGATTACCTATACTTCAGTTTTAAGGTTCTCATCTTTACAAGTTTTTGTGGCATATATATTGCTTTTATTTGATACAATATGATACATACAATTTAGTTTCCAAAATGAATATTTGTCTGTATATTAGCTCTTATGTTCGATCCGTCTCCCTTCAGTAAAGACGGATTATTGGCAGTTTATTATAATTGAAAGGAGTAGTAATATGTAAAATCTATCGAAAACAATAAATGTTCAAATAAATGAAGATTATTCATTCTACCTGTTAATTTCTGACATTGCTTGTTACATAAGAAGAAATAAAAATCCAATACAACTGAATACCGAACGATCCTCGAGATCTTCACTACACATTACATCATTTTTACAATAAACCTTAAGAAACAAATAAACAATTTGAGATTGCGCATGCGCAAAACAATTTTTTTTTAAATTAGCATTAGTTTTATTTGAGGTGCCTGCATACAACATTTCATTTAAATATCTTAACAATTTTTTTAAATAACCGACCGCGCATGCGCAAAACAAATTTTTCGATTCGGCATTAGTTTTACTGTTATTCGAGATGCCTACATACAAAATTTCATATAAATATCTTAAGAAATAAAAAAAATTGGGATTGCGCAAATACAAAAGGTGTAATGCGCATGCGCAATGCTTTTTGCACCTGCATACCTAGTTGTCTGAAGTTTAAGCAATATACTAACACGGAAAACCGGACATTCATTTGTTCTTTGTAACAGGATTTATAAAAGAAACCCTTTTTGGAGGTTTGGCGGGCAGTTTTTGGGCTGTAACTTTTTGGCTCGTTGGTCTACGTAGCCGAAAAACAATAGCGACCTTTCATACATCCTGCAAAACATATGTATCAATTTTCAAAACGATCGGACATTTCTACACAATGTCATCGTGCACGCGGATAGACAGACAACAATACAAATTTATAAGGTGAGGATAGATAATAATGTATGGAATTCATTCACCGGCGTACGCAAAGGGGGGCTGAAGTGGCTGCCCCCCCCCCGAAATAATCGACTTAACTGCTCAGCGGCACATCTCGTAAGTCGTCAGTCATGGTATAATTATTTAAATGCCAAGCGACAATAAAAATGATGCAGTTGCTGGAAAAACTACCTTACTTTTTCCTTCGCTTACTTGATCTTGCGAATGTGTACGACATACGTGAAAATTTACATACATATTGGTCTTAATTCTCGAGTTTCAGCCTCTCCCGAAAAAAAACCTGCGTACGCTACAGAATTCATTCATTACCTTTTTGGAATTGAAGCATCGGCTTTTATTTCTCCACATGGCAGTCGAAATTTTGGGAATGAGACCCTCTGGAGTTGCAATAGCGTCTCCAGGTCAAGGTGTAGACTACATTTTTAAAATGCCCCTACAAAAAAAAATCTAACAGCTACTGCTCAATTGCTGCACCTTTTGAAGAGGGATGCTCTTGCTGCTCTTATTTCTTTCATAATAAAAGGTAACAGATATGTCATTGTCGTATGTACTCATATAAGTATTTACTGGAACGCTTGGATTCCGCCTTACCTGCTCGAGAAACTGAGTCATATGTATATATTGTATCCTAACTTTTCCTCTCCGGGTTTGTGAAACTAATCCCGTCTCATTCCGAGTTGTAGGTACATGATTGATTGTTAACTGCATTTATTCCATGTTACCTTCTTATTATTTTTACGTTCGTTCAAGTGTCGGGAATATATATTTTTATATAACAAAATAATGCTTCCGGGACCCATTATCATTGAATAAAAAATTAAGCTTTTATTACTTCTACGACTACGAGTAAATTTTGATGGGAAGCTAAAATAAAAACAATTGATAAATAAGTTAAAAAATGACAGTGAATTTTTCATTGGCGGATATCGGGATATATGGCAATTCGTAATGAACAGCAAATCACAACTCTCAACTAAATTATAAAAAGTAAATTTACCAATATTACTAATGGACCTACATTTTAAGAGGTAATACTCGTTTAAATGGTCCAGTAGGCCCTGGCTTTATTTGGAAAATCTCTTGTTGATATTAGTCTTAACAGTTGGCATTTGAAATATTGGATTTTGTGTTTGCATATGTTTATAAATTAAAGGTTTAACTTGTAAAGCGTCCGGTGAACTTACAACGCCCTGTAGATCGGTAACGAAGCGTTTGCGGACCTATGTTTATATAGTTTTAGTCATAAAATAAGCAAAGAATTATCCCCTTCCGTTCTTACATCACATTTAGGAACACCCTGTATAATTATATAGGAAACAAGATTTCAAGGCCTCCTAAGAACTTTATGAATAACTGTCACAATTTTAGAAAATCGAAAATAAAACGAAAGCGTAACCGTATAGGCAATGTAATAATCGATCGATGTAGAATTTTTTCGGCATTTGAAAGTGCTAAAAAGAATTGTTGTATTTAAAAAAATCGACTTTTTAATGTTTGAAGTTATTAAAATTGCGAATTAGTTGTAGCCTCAAGTCAGTATTGTTAATTTTGAAAGACTTTTTGAGATTCAAGTCAATGGAGTCATAGGTACAGGGCCTTAATGAAAAGCAGCTAAACGTCAAAAATTTTGAAGTCTTGCATAACTTGAAAGCCTTTGATGCTGGGAATGGGGGAATGTATCAAACAACTTTTTTTTTCAATTAGATTTCGAACATGCAAAACATACAGGGTGTTCTATTTAAAATATGAAAGTTGCTATACCCAACAGGTAAAAACGAAAGCGAAACGATTATAATATTTTCTTTCGATAGATCAGGAAAAACTATGTTGGTATGCAAAAATTTTGAGATTTAAATTATTAATGGGAGTCGGAATATTTTTAGGTAACGATTTGCGTGGAACAACCTGTATACACCTTAATTAATTAATTAATTTATTTATTGTCCCTTACGCCAAATTACAGTGACCCGCATAATGCTTCTTTATAGGCGCCCCTAAAGAAGGAATAGAATTTGCGTTCCAAATTTGTGTACATTTTCGTGCGGCGCATATAGTTCACATTGACAAGAATTTCTGCGCACACAGCAAATTTGTGTCAAATTCAACGCACAACGTAAATATTTATCAATGTGGACTCGCCTTAACGTTTTAATGTGGACTCCAACCTCAATACACACCATATCCATACTGCATATACTTAAGAAAATAAAACAAGATTTGCAATTAGGTATCTATTAAATGAGTAAATCACATCACTACAAGTTATCAATGGATAACAGTAAAATAATAAATAAAATTTATACAAGAAAAATACAAAAAAGGTATCAGATTTTTTACGAACAAGATTCAGCATCATTGGTTCACATGAGTTGTCCTTAAATTATATCGAGTACACAATTTCATTTTACCAGTATATTATTTCGAGTCGTACTTTGGTTTTCTTACTTATATACAAAATCACAAAAGCGTTCAATATATACATATACAGAACTTACAAACTAATAAGAGGTGTAAATATAATATATATAAACAACATGAATTATACAACAAATATGTTTTTAATTACCTAATATATAAAGTTCTTAAAAATAGTGCTAGATACTTTAGAATGTCAATATAGCAGCACTAAAATAACAAAATACTGATGAAATATTGTATATTGGAAAATAATGATGTTTCAAGGCCTCTCATCCTAATGTCTATGGTTACAATCATAACGATGATATTGTAGTAAGGTACCGTTCATAGTGTTAATATACTTAGTTATTACTCTTAGCTGGTTCAGTAAAAAGTACATTATGCAAGCAAATCAATAGGAGTGTACAGTCGGTAACAATGAACGCATCATGCCTTTGTCTTCATTAAATACGATATCAATGCAAATTACCTCTAGTTGCAAATATATACAAAAACTTTACATTAAACTTATAAGTATTATTTATACATATCAAAATATACGCTATTATTTAATTAATACGGTATAAGTTAATAAAGCTAAGTAATCAGATAACATTTAAAGCAAGGATTAGAAGGCAAAAGCTGGATCCTATAAGTATCAACGCGAATACCTGGTCCATGCATGCATGCGTGCGATATAATTGCATGAACATATAAATCTACAATAACGAAACTGGTTCATAATGAAAAAATAAGAAAGAAAAATGTGCAAAAATTAAAAAACAATCCACTAACAAGCCTATTTCACTTAGATTAGACTTGAAGTGAGTTACGAAGTGATTTTTTGATAATACTTTTGATGGTGGGATATGGTTTAAGGGTTTAACATGCAAGGAGGGAAAGTTGGATATGTAAATTAAGTTTTACGTCATACTCCACCACCATAAGAAATTGAGATTAAAATTGAGAGAAAAAAGATGTTAGTCATGCAAGGAGAGGAAATTGGAGTTGGATAGTTTTATATCTCAATCAATATTATGCAACACTTCGTATTTTCAAAGAATCATGGTCTAGAGAACAAATAGTAGTAACAGCAGGAATGTAAGACATATTAAGTAAACAATAAATATATTTTGATATTTTAAGTATCTCATGTAAAACAGCCTTTTCTTTTTTTTTGACTAAATTAAAAAAATAAATAAAGATTTCATTCAATAACTAAAATATTTTATGCAACTTGAACAGCCATTAGATCTATATGGTGATGACTAAAAACTAGTATGCACAACACTGTAACTCTTATGTAAATGAGGCATTGTACAAAATGCAGAACTGAACCATAAGCAAAATACTAGCCACTATCGCATTTGAACTTAAAAATATAATACCCACACAAAATACTAGAAACACATAAGTGTTAAGGATATAAACCTCCCAATCAGTTTTTGCATCACATTTGGCAGTCTACCATATTTATACATAATTTATTTTCAAAATCGTCCACTATCTGCGATAACTGCAGATTTAGGAACCAAACCTTTTTGAGTACCTCTACAACAAAGTAACCATTTCTCATCTACTTCCAAAATTACTGTCAGTCGTTCCCCTTCATTATATGATAAATGACCACTTTCGGATGCCAAACGATGAGATAAGGTTCGTACTACCCTGTAATGCAAAATGTTTTAATTGAGCTTTTGACGAAAAAACATGGCCTCATATAAGTAAAATTTCTAATTCTCGCATAGTTGAGTTGTTTTAGAAAACGGAATAATTTTAAATTTTTAATTATAAATTCTTCAGGACAAACAAATTCTGTTTTTAAATGTAATAGACTTGAGCAGAAACAGAATAGCATCAATTAACACGTGAACATCATTCCCTCCACATTTGCACTATGCAGAATCTACCCCATCCACACTTAAACTATTTTTGAAAAGCTTCATTAATAGATTATCAGAACTATTTGTAAAATTGTAATTGAACAAAATGTAGTATTATGGAGCACAATGTGCTTTAATCCTCCAGAGCAAATAGTATTGCAATACAATTTTTTGATGTACGTCTCCATTTGTCGATAAACGTTTATGAGTAGAGTAAAATATAACATCGAAGTTGAATAACGTTTATTATAATTTTTCTATGGCTATCGATTTCGGCAACATTGCCATCATCAGGCCTAGCTATAAATATATCCTGTGTACACAGATGATGGCAATGTTGCCGAAATCGATAGCCATAGAAAAACTATAATAAACGTTATTCAACTTCGATGTTATATTTTACTCTATTCCAATACAATATTAGAAAACTCAACCATTCAATTTTAAATGCGTCATTAAGGGCGATGATGAATTTAATTGCATCCTATTACCGAAACATGGCATTGGAAACTTTAAACCAAAAAGATGCAAGACTTACCTACTACTCTGCACTTGAACAACAGGTTTTCTTCCTAATGAGCTGGACACTGCCCTACGAGGAGGTGTTAGTTTATTGTTTTTACTCTGAACATTTGCAGGTTTGTATGGAAGGCTGCTTGGTCGAGGTGAGTGTTTCAAGACATCAGAGGGGCCATCTTGCTGATCTAATCTGCTTGTCCTATATGGAGATAAATCGTGAAACTCCGAACATTTAATGCTTTAATTACCATCTTACCTAGTATTTGGTATGGGTTTCTTAACTTGCACCTTAGGAGGATTATTTCCGATGGAAGTTCTACTAATGCTTCCTATACATTTCCTATTCCCACTTGGAGGTGTAGTAACCTTCTTAGCAATTTTACTAGGTTTAGTTGTGGGTGAAACTACAGGAACAGGAATACCCGAAGGTGGTCTTACAGGAGATGTAACAAGCCGAGGTATTTTAGACTTGTTGGCGTGTGTAGGTGACTGTGGTGGAGAGCATGGTAAATCTTTTCCACTCAGTTTTTCCCATTTCTCCTGTAGTTTTCGGAATCTCGTTCCATTAAGCGGTTTCTCATCAGCAGCTTGTGATTCCAGTGATTCTGGACCATCATCCCTAAGACGAGAGGCATCCTCACTGGAATTGCTGTCCGATTTTTCCGCACTTGGCACTCTGTTATTGCGATTATTGTATGTTTCTAAACTATCAGTATATTCTTCTTCGGTGTCTTCACGTGCCAATCGATCATAAGCTTGATATAGTTTTGAGGTTAACGAAATACCAGACCACCTTTTCTTTGCAATCACAGTAACATCTTCGCCTAGACGAAAGCTTGGTTTAGACAAAACTCCGGGTTCTATGCAGGACCTAGGACGAACTTTACACTGACTTCGTGAGGAAGTGGAAGTATTTAAGAGGTCTGGGAGAGTGGGGTTCTCTGGCGAGCACTGTCGGACGGTGGTGGCCTCTTCTGCATCAGAAAGAGAATGAGAAGAAGTACTTTGCAGTGAATTTGCCAATTTCATGAGATTCCATTGCTTTGGCGTTAATGTCTTAGGTGATGATGGCTGAAAATATGTCAATAAATAAATATCATGTACATCATTATGCCAGTATTACCTTCACATGTGTAGGACTAGAAGGAACATATGAATCTATTCTTTTCAGACTCTCATGCAGTTGTCTGTACTCAAACAAAACATCGAAATGGAATGGTAACAATGCCAAAGGTTCTAATGCAGATATTAAAGTATCCAATAAACCCCTCACTGCCGCACCACCAGTGTGTGCAAGAAGAAGTAGAGAGTTTGGATTATAATGCTTCTTTAGCACAGTTTCGCGTGTTCTTAAATAACTAGTCCACGCATCCAACGATCTTACGTTTAATAAACCAAACACAAATGCATTAAATTTAACCAGACCTTCCGTAATTGCATCTTCACCATTAATTCTCATAACCAAATCATTTAACGCCTTAGTTAACGGACCTTGTTGCGCTGACGCTTCAACTACTTGCCAAACTGAATTACAGATCGGACCAAACGACGTTTCCAGATTGGGCTTTAAACCATCACTCAAAACTGCGTATATTGCAGGACAAAGATTTGTCAGAGCAATTTTTGCGCATGCCGGATTTAGGCTTGAATCTCCTAATGTTATTAATTCAGACTGATTCGTTGCCGGAGAAAAATGGTGAATTACTTTTTCAACCGCATCAGTAACTGCGGTTACTAACAGACGTTTTTGATTCAGATCGTAAGTCTGCTTCCTGACGTGAGTAGGTGTAAGTTGTGGACTAGAATAATTTTCTGGACTAATTTCTCCCTCTTCACATATCGGAATTTCGGCCAACGTTTTATGCTATAACATATTATACCGTTAGTCATAGTACATGATTTTTATATCTGAAGTTGTTACCACATTTAGCATTGATTTAGCACATTTCACCTAAACGTCTTTCATATAATTTCATACTTATATGCTTTGATTATTCATGAATAATTCACTAAATGGAGTAACTCTATGTGCCGCTATATGGTACTTACCTGATAAGTTCTTTGATTTGAAAAAGCAGATGCATTCGGAGAATTATTTGGTGGTTTCATCTCTAGATTGTTCTTTGGTAAAACGTTCACCTTCTCAGCAAAACTAACACTTTTCTTGCCACCAAAGTGTTCGTTGCCATCTTGATTGATCTTCAGCGCCAAGAACTTACTGACACACGAGCGCAATTGAATGATTTCCTGTTCGTCCAAATCTTCAGGATCGGATGACGACAAGCCACTCATTTTTAGGTATTCTTCTAACTGTAAGAGCTCATCACAACTGATATGGGATAGCAAAATATCTGTTTTGGGGTGAGGTGGAATTGGAACTCTGAAATTGACTTCTGGTTGTTCATCCAAACTACTACTTGATGTTCCTGCATCTACACCTTCGTCCTCAGTTTCACTCAAACGTTTATGCCTTTGATAATAGTGGTCAGGCAATGAATAACGTTTACTTGAGTTGTCCTTTGCGTTATTATCGTCACAAGTTTCAAACATGCTGTATCTTTTAGATTTCTCATTTTTGTATTGTTTAGCAGTTTCTAAGCTTTTCCTGAGAATGCCTTTTGGAAGTGGTGGTCGAGGAGGTACCACCTCTCGACATTTATGATCGTGTGAAAGACTGATAGAACGCTTGGGAAGAGGTGGAGCAGTAGTTCCGATAGATCTGTGACGTTCGCTCGTCATTAAGCTTGCTTCTGAGCTAGTAACACTGTCATATCGATAAACAAAGAGAGGATTAAAGTTTGTAGTAAGAGCGGGACTATTTTGCGAATCAGTGAGGAGCATAGTTGACGAACCCCGATACCCAGAACTCGGTTGTGTAGCTGTGCTGGAACTAGATGAAAAAGTTGTTGCGGTTTCTGCACTCCCTGTACGGTGCAGCATGGCACAGTCACAACTAGTTGGCCTTGCACGGCGTCTAACAGGCGGCGACGTACAGAAGGAAGGTTTTGTAAATTCGCTCTTTAAATTGGCTTGTTCAGCTATCTCAGGTACATCTGCTAATAATTGGCGACATTCATTTGGTAATAAGAAATTTAAGGATTCCCAATCACGTACATGGTCGAACCCTTTCTTTTTCAACGCCTCAAAATCATTACAGCTAAAAGGGCGCGTATTCGGTTGAACTGTTTTGTTTGGACCTCTTTGCGGCATTAAAAACACCTTTGCAGCATCTTCTGCTTTCTCATTAAGAAATTGTAAATCAGGAAGAACATAGTTCGGATATAAGATATATACAGGTTTCTCAGTTTCACCGTCTTTTTTTAGTTTATTCAGAAACGATGGCTGAACAACTTTAACACAATCTTTGGCGTTATGGCAATTTAATTTGTATGGAGCAGCTTTCAGGCTTTTGTCTATGTAACAAGAGGTTTGCATACTTTTGTTCATTAAGTGAACGGGTATTTGGGTTCCAGTTGTTTTTCCAATGTTTCTTACACGTTCGTTGCAGTCAGCTGTGTAACTGGATAAACTGGAAGAATCTGAAGATAAACTTACACCCAAACTGTTATTGCGTCTTGTTTGAGTGCTGTGTGCCTTTAACTTTCTTTTTCTTAGATCTTTATGCTCTATGCTGTTATTGTTGTTTACATTGAATTTAACGCACTGATTATGTTCGTTTTCAAAACTATCTCCTACGGATTCCAATTTTGATATACTTTCGGACAACTGTTCTACAGATTCACTTCGTGAAATATCTTCATCCTGCTCTTCTATGATTAGCTCATGAGTTCTAGACCCATTTTCACTCAATGACACGCCGTTTTCCAAACAGTTTGCTTTTGCTTCAATGCAGTTTGATTGTTTGTCCTCCAATGATTCGTTACTAGCAACGGAGTGAGTTGGCCAATTATCACTCACTGATGACTGATCCATCGCGGTAGACATGCCTGTAAAAATCAAATAAATTTTGCATTCCCTTTTAGAGTTACTACAGAAATTTAGCTGTTACTTTCATTGATGTGCTTATAGTAAAACACTCAACTGAAAATGAAGAACCGTTTTGATTTTAAATTAAAAATGAATAGGTAAATCTAAAAGTTCATTGACCGATCTGTTCTTTATTACTATAGAAAACAAGTACATTAGGTACCTACCTACTTACTTTATATTTAGAAAGTATTGAAACAAACTATATTGAAATTCCGAACATGGAAAAATTGCCTTTTACATTTACAGCCATGGTCTTGAGTAACGAAATGCGAAGTTTTAATCTACTATTGGCTATTGGCAAATAGCAGTTTGAATAATTCTTCTTATAGGGATGCTTCTAATCACAACTGACACTATACAATCATTTCTAAATAATCAGTGATTGCCCTCTGAATCATTTTCTTATTTCTGATGACTATAATACACAAACAAAAGAAGGGCAAAGTTTAATTGTAGATTAATTGTTTTCAAAGATAATAAACATAATTAATAATAATCGTTGTAAATTGATTGACAAATGATATTTACCTTCTGCACTCATGCTTTTCTGTTTCATGAAGAGTTTGACCAAATTCAAATTTGGCTGTTTATTAGATTCGCTACTGGTACTTCCACAATCCGCTGAGGTGGCCATATCGGAAACCAAACTGCCCCCGCTCAGACTGCTAGTCTGAATCTGATGTTGAATATCAAAAACTTTGACAGCCCTCCTTTTAGACGCATCAATCTAGAAGTTATTAAATTATGCATGCGACAATCGATTTGAAAACTTAACTTACAGAGCTATTAAATGGTGTGTTACTACGCAAAAATCCACTGCTCATAAGTCCCTTTACCTTCTGTTTGTACAAATTAGGCATACTTTGACTTTTTAATACATTGTCCACAGCACTATACTTATTGCTATCCACTGAACTATTGTTGTTTCCTGATGGATGTCTTTTTAATTGATTATCACTTGTTCTCTTCTTTAGTTTGCTCCAAGTTGTAAATCCGCCCGAATCTGATTGAGCCATTGATGTATCGGGAAGTTTAATATTATCAGGATGCACTTTCATATTGCCTTCCCAATGAATACTACCACTTCCAGACATCCCACCGCTCTTATCTATAAAAGAAAGTTAATGCCTAAGGTCGTGTTAATTATTTAACCAGAACGATAAACATTCTTTATTTACATAATAAATTGTTGTCAAATGAAGTGAGTCCTAAACACATTGTAAATGATACTTTCCAAAGTCTATCAAATATCTCAGACTAACCTGACTCGTGATAATCGCTATCCTCAGAATACATAGTCAAAGATCCTTCAAAGGCAATAGTGTAATTATCCTTGTTGGCTTGGCATGTTAACATAATATCGTGCTCATTCATTAGTTCACAGTCAAGAGAATCCACGCTAAAATTAGCACCAGGCATAGGTATTTCCTTTACAGGACTGAACAGTAACTCCGATTTGCAAATCGACATGGATGTTGAATTGGCAGTATCTTCGCCTTGTGAGCTACTGCTATGTGGACTTATGGAACTATCGAAATCGAATTTTGCCATCATAGATCCAGAGACACTTGCAAAACTTTCTCCTTGGTGGTGCTGTAAATTAGGGTAAACGTGATTGAATTGGTATATCAAAGTGAGGTACTCACATCTTGACTTAATGGATCTGTACACATTGTCGGTAAATTTGTTAGTAATGCATGAATATCTTCAGTTCGAAAACTCTCCATATCAGCTTCCGCCAAATTTGCATCCATATTTTTTGCAAGCACATCATAGTATCCAACATCATTGGCATCATAAGGCTCTGATAATGACAATATGCTTGTGTGGTGATTGGTACTACCATCTCGATAACTACAAAAACGTATAATAGTGCAAAATTGAAGTCTACTGGCACTATTCATTCAGCAAAAACTTATAGGTGCACGGGTGTTTTGCCAAAAAGAAAATGAAGGGCGTAGCTTAATTTGCCGGTGTGTTAAGCAAGGAATATCGTTTACTACTAAATGTGGGTTAAATGATGTCAGCGTTTAATTTGTGCACCAGCTGTGGAGTCTGTTAACGATAAAAATAATTCCGCTTGCTTACTTACTTATAATCAAGAAACCATTGATAGTCGGAGTTATCTTGAATAAAGTCTATATCCTGTGAAGAAGTATTACTCAGGCAGCTAGTCGTTGATCCCGGATGGTTGCTGTTACAGTCTGAATCGGGGCTGTGCGCTGTTATTCTTCCACCCACCACAACCTCCCCCATCGTTTTACCTGCAAAAAAAGTTCACGTTTAGCATAAATGGACACAGGTCCAACAGAAATTACGCTTATTACATACATTCAACAAGTCAACAAATTCGTAATACAAACATTTAATCATCGCACGTTTTCTGTTACAATTTTCCGCGGTTATCTATGTATGTACTTGAGATTAAAGCAGCATTTAACAGAATTAGACGTATGTGTCCCTTTTTCGGACAAAATAAAAGATGAAGGTGCATTCAGGTCCCAATTAATATAAATTGTTCTGTTCGTGAAGGAAAACACATTTCTAACTTTTAAGTTAATTGGCATAGGTCTAAACAATTACTGGAAATGTACTTTTGACCTAACGAGTATAGGTAAATTTAGAAATTGGTATAAAGAAACAATTACAAAGCCACAAAATAAGAGTACGAAAGGCGCATCTACCTACCAGGCAAGAATCTTTAAATTGAGCTCTGTGAACGTCCAACAGGAAAAATACATAAATCATGAATGAGGACGTAAAGACATACATCGTCGTTTGTTGTCTCGTCCTATTGCAAAATATAGCAAAAATTCAACTGGGTTGGTTGAATATCCCACAGGAAGTTTAAGATGCTGGGAAAGAAATGAGTTGACTACAGCAGCTTCGATTTAGTCATTGTCGGCGTACTTCACATGAAATTTTCGCCCAATTTTATTGACATAACGCTTGGAAATGATGAGAAAATCGACAGTAAGAGTCCGCAAATTAGCTCAGAGGTCAAATGTATCTTCTGCTGTCGTTCCAACTTACTAATTAAATGGTTTTATTCTGCAGTACCCCTATTATTGTTTTGTTATACCTAGTATAAAAAACAAAAGCGCTTAAATGATTCCTGTTAAAAATTCATTTGTTGCTTTCAAAAATATAAAACAAATATGTATTCTACTTCCATTAAGAGTTCAAAAGGTTGGTAGTTATCACGCCATTTTATATTATATTTCAAATAATCGAAAAGTAATTTTTTCATATTTCTTGCAGCGGTTCAGCCTTTGTTAATTGATCAATTTCTCTTTGAACACCTCAAATTAAGTTTTGGAGTGGGCATAGTCCATACGTCGGTCCATACCAGTCAGAATGTAGACTCAAAACAAAAGCAGAAAACAATGTCGCACACGTGTAAAGTTTGAGTCGATTTGAGACTACTGTTAGTAATTATGTAGGTAACTACCAAGTAAACACACCTTTCTCAGTAGTGTGTTAAATTACGAATTTTACAATTCAATTTAGATACTGAATGAGCAAATAAGATAGATAAAATAAACGGGAGAGACGAAGGCTAATGCGTTTACGCACGATGTACAAAACGAATTTCAACTTTCTATACTAACAAATTCTTTTTCGGAAATAAATTATCAACGAAATTGGTTGTGACATGACGTTTTTTGGCAGTCTTTCAAAATAAATACAAAGAGAGTAACATTATATGTCATAAATTATTCCTATAACGAGAAGGTTTGTTTATCTAATAATAAAACTGGTAAGTATATCAAGTTTTTTAGGCAGCTAAAATGAGGAAATCTGTCCCAATACCAGAATACTTAAAATAAACCCGAGAATAAACCCCTAAAGCAAATCTAAAAAAGCGGCAGAGCACCTCGGTATGACCCTACGAAGTGATTGGATTTGGCCCATTTTTTAATAGGTTTGTTACATGTGGTATATATGTCAACTGTGCAAAGTTTGAACCGAATAGGTTCAAGTGTTTGACAGAGACAGAAAGGCGTGACCCTACGAGGTCATTGGAATTGACTCATTTTCAATACGCTTATTATTTGTGGTATATAGGTCAATTATGCAAAATTTGCACCGAATCGGTCCAATCGTTTGACAGTTATCGTGTTCCTCTAAAGCCTGCATCGTTTTGCTTTGCCGCTTAATAAATAGTAGGTATAGCCATTGGTATTTATATTGTTTATAAATACAATGGTATAGCATAACACCACGATCGTGGCACGTTCGACACGGATAATTCTTGAATCTTGATTATTAACGAGCGACAAAGCGCGTTTATGATTTTCAACTTTCTGTCCGTCCGTCCAAATGTGTACAACAATTCTGCTTTCAGTAGTAGGTAGGCAATGGTCCAGGGACTAACTGATGTCTGTGTACAAGATAACTGGCGAACGGTTTAGAATTTGGTGATTATAACGAAAGCCTAATTACCCCATAAATAAATTTTTATCTCACAGTACAATTGGCAAAAGAAATACCGAATGATCCAAAATAAATGCAGACAGTTTAAACTTAGCGCGTAAAGTTTTTAGTTTTTTTACGTCAGGCATTGTTTAGTTAGAAGGTGATTAATTTATGCAGTAATCGCCATCCATTGGCGGCTTTTTTTATGTAAATTTTTATTTTCTTGTCTGTACCGCGATCCTTTTAAAGCAAACCGTTAGTTTCATGCAACCTTATTTTGTAAGCTTAATGGGGATGGATATTGATACATTCATTTTAAAGGCGTAGTATCAAGCGCAACACGTTTAGAAGAATTAGAAGACGTAATTCAAGGAAAAATATGCTACCCCACCATGTTAGTGAAAGTTGTCGAAGATGTAGGAGAACGTAACCCCAAGAAATAAATTCGGAAATTATCTTAACGGGTGAGCAAATCAATATGAGTGATAACATCTCTATTTGATATTATTACAGACTTATCAATAATATGTAGCACAACATTTCGCACGAAGATATCGGAATGTTTTCATATATAGTTTCGGAGACGAAGCACTGCTTTTAAATAAATGGCATTTGGTATGCCAGCAACTTTATACGTTCGATATGGCCTACTCTTCTACTAATCTAGCCTTAAATTGGTTGTTAATACCCAGCGACTTCCCATTTTCTTCTTACCCTATGGTAAATCGACTAAATCCCACGTGTGGTTTTCATCAATTTCCGCTTGCATGGCCTGTAACCACTTCTCGAAATATTTGGAGATTACTGCTCCATTAAAGATGTCGATTCTGCCATAAGTAGATATAGTTGTTCAAATACTCCGGCCTCTTAATTTCTCTGCGAATAACATCCTCAAATTTCGGCCACTTTACTGGCAAATCTTGATTAATATCAGTAGAAACTTCCTTCTGAATTGGAATCTCCCTCTCAATCTCATCACCTCGCTTATTGCGTGCATTAAGTGACATTTACAATTGTACAATTCCTCCCTCAGTTTCTACTGATCACACGTCTACATCCTCTGCTGCAGCTTGCCGGTTTCTTACAACTGACTCGTCTTTACAAAGGACGTCACAACTTAAAACCACTGTTCTTTCCAATCCATACCACCACCATCCTTATCACCATCGTAACCCACAAAATGACCGGTTACACTTTTCTTATCGTATTTCTTACGCTTCTCTTTGGGAACATACATGTACAAAAAAACCTGTACCAAAAATTTTGAAGCGAGTTCGCCCTAAAGCATCCTTGCCATGCCATAACTCGAACGGTGACTTATCTGGACTCGATGTAGGTCCAGTTTGATTTAATATGTAACATGTGTTGACAGTTTCTGCTCACAGCATAATTGTCACCCTTTGCAAAAAATGCATGTAATGACTGCATGCATTATGCTTAAAAAGATAGTATCTTCAACTGCAACTCTACTTAAGTTAAGAGCATCGTTATTTGAAACATACTCGAGATAAAATTAAATTAGAAAATATTGGCCCATAACGAAATAATATGGGTATTAAAGGCGAATGGAATTTATTAGTGTTAAAGGAGTTCAATTAGTGCAAGAAGTTATATTGAAAACTAAGCTCGTTGGTAGGTAATAAAATATGTATCTCAATTAATTAAACAGAAAGATAAAAACTGGTACTTACTACAACCAGTCTTGTAATAAAAACAGATTACGAGCTTAATTTGAGATTAATTTAAATGAGGTGACCATACGCCTACCTGTGAAAGTGATTGGTTTTCTCGAGGGTTTTGTAAATAAAAGAAAGAACACTTTTGTGTATGCAACCATTGCTTTGAAGACAATCCACCTGTAATCGATAAAATTCGGCGTTTTAAAAAAGTAAATAGCAGTCAATCTCGCGAAAATATGACGCCTTTCCTGTGAAGCCCAATTAAGATCGATATAACTCCAAGTAAATGCACATATGTCCATGAAGTGGTTATTTGAAGATCATCCCTTGACACCAACAAGGGCATCAAATAACTAAACTTTCGCAGATATCTTATCCAGTATCCACGTACAGTGTGTCTGCTTATATGCAGTAAGGGTCTAGGACACTTCGCCGAATGCCCACAACGCCGACACGATTTTTTGAAGGTCCATATCGCCGACTAGGGACACTACGCCGACGGACACTACGCCGACCGTGCCCACATCGTCGACAAGTATGCAAGGGACACAACGCCGACCATGCCCACTTCGCCGACGGACACTACGCCGATCGTGCCCACATTGCCGAAACGTGTGCAAGGGACACTAAGCCGAACGTGACCACAACGCCGACTGTTCGAAAATCCAGGCCCCTCATACTCTGTCCAGTGTATGAGTTTGCATTTTAAAAAGTTTAAAAAACATGTCCTAAACCTACAAATAACCTAATATCCAAAGCTGCTTTGCTTCACACTCCGTCCAGTTTGATTAAGAATTTTCGTATGAGTCTGTAGTTCGAAAAAAGTTAAAAAAAATATTCTGAACCTACAATAACCTAACGTCAAAAGCTACTTGGTGTTGCACACCGTCCAGCTTGATTAAGAAGTGTTGTATGAGTCGACGTTATGGTCACGTTCGGCTTAGTGTCCCTTGTTCACTTGTCGGCGATGTGGGCACGGTCGGCGTAGTGTCCGTCGGCGAAGTGGGCATGGTCGGCGTTGTGTCCCTTGCACACTTGTCGACGATGTGGGCACGGTCGGCGTAGTGTCCCTAGTCGGCGATATGGACCTTCAAAAAATCGTGTCGGCGTTGTGGGCATTCGGCGAAATGTCCCGGCCTCTGCAGTAACTATTACGTGCTCAAAAA